ATGCAATGATATTTTATCTAAAGGAAAGGTCTTAAGAATTCTCATACAAATCTGACAAATTATGTGACTCGCAAATTTTATTTCAGCTCCATTTGATGTCATGAAATCTCCTCTAATTTTAAGATTAAATAACATAATTAAATTATATACACCAATAAAATTAGGTGAGCTCGCAACATTCAGGCGTAGACACAATAAAAGTACGCGTATTAAGAAAGATCTAAAGTTTTAAAACGTAGGTACGTGTCATTCATGTAAATGGTTTTGCACACACGAGAATTGGATAAACAATTCAATAAATTATAATAAAGAAACCCGGCCAAGTGCGAATCACTATCAGACGCAAATGATCCCCAACCATTGTACAAGATTTACACCCTTTGTCGGACTTATATTTTTAATTTTTATCATTAAATCTTCAATAGAAATACAAACTTAATGAACATTAAGTATCTATGTGGATAGACGATATGGGACGCTATATAAAGTAAAAGAAACAATATGAAAGGAATCAAAAGATGCTGGTTACATTAGAACATAAGTAGATTTAAGTTTGTTTTATTGTTATCTTATTAACCACTGTCATATTACGATATTAAATAAACTTTCACGCGCATAGCTCCACTTTTGCTAATTCTACGATTTTTTTGAGCGGAGCAGTTGTGTGTTCTACCTTTGTATGGCGTGTACTCATGACGTCACATTAAATGACGTCACGTTAAATGCCTCTAGGTTTTTTTTATTAATGTTATTATTTACTATATTATAATATTCACAAAAACTCATCAGTAGAAATACTATCGTTTAATTTTATATCTATATCATTGACATTGAAATAGGCATGACCCAAGCGTAAGCATTATTTTTGCTTTACATATATAAACTGTCATAACTGAGTTGGCAAATACAATATCTTTTTATTGTAATAACGCATACAAACGATAGTCTTTTGTTTATAACAATAGCAATAATTTCATTGTCTTGCACATAATATATGACTATTTCATATATTTATAGACAGATAAATTATGTATTGTTTTCAATATTTAGAGATCAATATCTAAATTTTATAAGTGTAAGTATGTGAACAAATCATCGAAACCTAGAAAGCTCTACTAGATTTTACATGGTCAATTAAAACCTATCTAGAGCAAAACCAATGTCAATTAAAGCTCTACAAATGGTAAGGAAGGCTTATTTAAAAAAATAATTCTGATAAATATACATAGTACTACAAAGAGACCTTTTCCTTATCACAATTCTTGTGGAAATGTAGTATTTTTTTGTACATTGTCAATTTTTTTTTTATAATATAGGACTATTCCATTTTATTTCTACTTTTCCAAAAAATTATTTCCAGGTTGGAATATTTTACTCTATAGTTATTCCATTTTTTTCATTAAGAAATATTGTTCCCAAGACTTCATGCAACTCAAGTAAGTACCATGTTTGATAATTTGCAACCATTATAAAGCTAATCCGTGAAACAGAAAAACTTCACATAAACGTGTTTTTTTTCTTGTTAATTTTTTTTTACCGTAATCTGTCGTTTCTGTTTTCGTAAGCTTATAAAGAGCTTACGAACTTACGATTGACAACGAAATGTAGATAGGTATTGTGCCAGTATGTAACCTCCTATAAATATATTCTTGTTGACTTTGCCCGTAATTGTGTTTACTTACACTAATTAACCTACTGATTGTAATTATTTACTTTGCATGTGGTGTTTACCTCAAATAATTTGTGCTTTTAGCTATAGTACTATCGCTGTAATATTTACAATGTACTATTGTAACAATTGCTGGAAAACTCAGTAAATAAATAAATAAAAATAAGTTAAATCTGAAGAAAAGTTTTACTAGAAAGAAATCCACGCGGACTAGGTAACGGACGGGACTCGAACCCGCACCCTTCGCAATCCAGGCGAATGCACTGACCAATTATGCTACCACGGCCCTGATGGCCGCGTAGAAATTTTCCTAGCCTTAAGCGGCAATTCAGCGCCATCTCTTCGCATTATAGGTAACCCACAATGTCAAATGAATAATGATATTATGAATGAAGCAAAACTTTTCTTTAGATTTACACATCTAGCAGTTAAATGCTTAAAAAAAACATAACTAAAAATAAGTTATTGTGCAAAAACGCAGGCAAGCCTTTAAAAAAGAAATAAATACCTTACCAAAAAAATACAAAGTATTCTATTTTAAGTTTTATATTTACAGGGCCACTAAAAACCAAACAACACTCCTGCACCAGTCACCCGGTACGCCTTTTACCTCCGATTGGTTCCGTAGATGGCGTATCGAGGTTAATCCGGAAAAAAGAGTCACGATCCTTTTTAGCTCGACACCGCCACCCAAGATTTGTCTTAAGAGCATCCAATTATTTGACCGGGTTATTCCCTGGGAAGACCAGGTCAAGTACTTGTGAGTTACGTTAAATAACCGATTAACGTTTGCACGTCATCTCAAGATAGTTCGCGATCTCTGTTTGAGCCGCCCCCTCAGGTTCGAGTGGTCTAGATTCTTCAGATGGAGAGGAGACTTCCCCTGTGGGGAGATGCCATCAGGCTGGAATACCTCTCGCCGTCCCCAAACCTGGTGACACTGTGTAGGATCTCGCCGTCCCCAAGCACGGTGACACTGTTAAGGCCAGCTGCGACCAACAGCTAACACATTTAAAAAAAAGGTACGCATTCTCAGGACCTCAGTCCCCCCAATGCATGTTGGGAGTGCGGATGGAGTCATGCGGCACCCGATATCCAACTGGCCACGCACCCGCCGGTGTTTGTCCCAAAATCCAAAGAGATATGCAATGCGAGCCACCTCCAGGACAGACCTGCGGCTCTCACGCAAGTGGGAGGGAGAGGGTAGTTCTCTCCATCCCTCACCCGCCCCCGATGGCCCTAAGAGAGCCAATAGGCGTACTGGCAGCCTGACAAGGGCTATAGATTGTCCTTAGAAGGACCTTTGATTCACGGGCGGACAACAAGATAAGGAGGTGGGCTAATCGCCGTCGCCGTCTCCACCGCCCCCTTTATAAGTATAATTAAGTATATATTTTCTTCCATTGTATATATGTATTTATTATCACATGTTAAATGTTTTGTGTAGTACCTATATTATTTATAAGTATATTACATTGTATGCAGGAGCAGGTGTAAACACTGACTGCTTTTCCAATACGCTGTCCTGCTACGGACCAACTGGAAGAAATTTCTGATTGAAATACGATGTGTCCTTGTAGATGTATCATTAATTAAGTAACTTTTGTATCTCAATTTGTGCATATAAAATAAATAAATACGAGTAGGGTGAAGAAGGGGTGAATTTTTAAATGATTTTGTAATATACAAAATCAATATAATAGAAATGATGCAACAGTCAAAGTATTGATACATATTCGTAACAAAAGAACATCTGCGAGGTATTAAATAATATTGTGAAATAGTTTTCATAGCACATATTATTTTACGATCTTTTGCTAAAATATTATTTTATGATCGTCAAATATAACGGTGGCGAAATTTGTGAATCCGTTAAGTACACTTTCGACCACAATTTCTTTTATGAGCCAGTAAAAAGGTTACCTAACTAATATCTACCGCGTGGTTTACAATTAAAGCTTATTCACTTATTAATCTTCCACGGCTTTGTCTTGCCGCAACCCAAAAATTACTTGGATCGAATAGTGAGTAGTTCAGCCCGGTCTACCTTGGTGGGCGCATTTTTCTGGCATAATATGCACTTTATATAATTACTAGCTGACCCGGTGAACTTCGTACCGCCTTACAGTCGATGCATAATAATGAATGTCGTCTTTGTTTTACATACAGAATGGGTTCTCCAACCTGTTTCTCCAATTTAAAATAAGGATACTTCCTCAGATATGTGCTTAACTTCACCAAACAGCCAGTGTTGTAACATCGACACTGTCTAGATACTATGTATAAATAAAAATCTTTTGGCGTACTTATGACGGAGATATTCGATTATTTTTCTTAATAATTGTGAAGACTGATACCCAAATCTCCCAGGTCTCCTTACGGTCGACCATAGGGACACCAATCATTTATCTAAGTGTGAAAACAAAATTGGTGCAAAAGAAACTTTTTTGGAAATCCACCACGAAATTAGGAAATCCTCGTGGTGATATAATTTATAGGTAGTGAAAAGTCAACACAATTTTTTTTAGTTTTTGTTTTTAATTTACAAAAGTTGCATCTTCGCTAGAATTTAAAGCAGTAAATTTAAAATTGGTTAAAGTGACGGTATCACTTTCAATAGCAATAGAATAAGCCAATACGCCATTTTGCCAAGCATTTAATTTAATACACGAGTTTATGTGTTATATTTGTTTCTTAGGTTTTCACGCACATCACTCATTAAGTAAAACTAGTTTTTACGGGTTAATGCACGAAACTTTATTTATTTATTGACGTTTCGTAGCCTTTACAGGCTACGTCGTCAGAATAAAACTTTTATTCAATTTGTCAATAAATAAATAAAGTTCCGTGCATTAACCCGTAAAAACTAGTTTTATTTATAAGTGTATATTTATGAAAATTTTAAAACAAATAGAAGAAGAGAAGAAACTAATTACGCAAAGTCATAAAAAATTGACAATATTTATAATAACAAGATACAATCATTTCATTACATCATAATCATATCTCCGGTTCCCGTTAAAACTGTTCCAACGTGATCCGCTTCCATATAGCCTCCTATAGACGATAGGAGGTCGTTGGATTTCCCAATCACCTCCTACGCATTATACCGCCTAAGTTTTCCCGCTTATATCTGTACAAGTGTATACTTGGAACAATCAAGTCGTTAGTATAATTTAACAGAAGATATAGGTACCTACATAGTTATACAATATTATTTTCGCGCCATATATATCTCTTGAGGTCGAAAGAACATCAATGCAATATGATATAAGTAATACATAAATTAGGAACTTGAATATTTTAATCGACAATACCAAAGTGGGGCTCACCATTTGGTGCCGGTTGGGGCGACCGACGGTGTCTGAAAATATTATACCTTATGTAATTTAAGACATGTCGAGCATATAGAATTCTGTATTAATACAAGAAAGAAACACACATATTTATATATTATATGGTTATATAAAATCGTAACATTTTTTGTTTAATGAAACTCGCAACAAATTTTGTAAGGTTCAGCTATTTTTGTATAACGACATCAGGAGCCGAATGACACTCGTCAAGTTTTAATACGCCTCTTCAAGACCCTGAATATTTATCTGACGAGGCAGATGTAGGTTTTTTTTGAAAAGTAAAAATACCTGTATTTAATTTTGTTTCGACATTCGTTAATTTTCCAATAATAGGTATCCCATAATAATTGACCTATAGAATAAATCCTTATTACTTAATATTTTTGTGCAAATTGTACTGAATTTTATGAAGCCATTGTGGTATTCAAGAGTTGTTTGTTTTAATATGTTTTTGTGGTTGAGTGTGCAATAATATTTTTTTTTCGCTAAAAATATGGAAGAACTTAATGAAACAGCTGAAACTACATACAGTAATCTTATCATAATGTTAGAACTAATATATTCGCAAGAAGATTAAGGTTAAATATAAACAAAATTGCCAATGCAATGTCACTGTGTACTCTATACATTAACAACCACCATATTGGTCAATAATGTAACATCTGCCATAAGCTCTATCAGTGTAGGATGATTTTGCATAAATGAATAGACATACTCGCTACCTACCAAAGGTGTTACATGACTTCGAAAAATGTCGTAAAACAAGGACCGGCTGCGGTCGAGATGAGAGGGGATGTATAGTCGGGTGGACATCGTCTCCGACGCGGCGCAGTGGGTACTCTGAAGGCTGCGGCGCGCGCCGCATGCCAACACCGATCGCGACCTCGCGCGACCCTATTATAAACAAGACACCGCCACAACAAGATCATAGTGCCACCAATCATGTCAACCAACAAGTTCATCCTCTTCCTTTGCGTCGCAGCGTTCGCGAAAACTGCGTCGCCGACCCCAGTCAACGGATTCGTGTTTCCCGATGAGCGGAGAGAAAAGAAACTGGAGCCGATCATCACGCCGCCTGTTCTGCCGGTGCTGGAACATTTGGAGCGTGATCCGAGTACTCTGCTGCCGAACGAAGTTGGGGGCAATAAACCCCGGTCTAATGTGAAGCCGCGGTTCGGTGGAGGCTCGTTCAATGTGCGCCCTTCAGGGAATGGAGGGCTAACTGCCAGTGTAAGCAGCAGTGGCAGCTTCGGTGGGAACAGCCAGTCAGCTTCCCAGTCGTTTGCGTTTGGCTTCAACGAAGGCTTTAGCGCGTCGCACTCGGCGAGTCAAGCCGCTTCATTCAATGGTTTTGGCGGGTGAGTTACTTTGATTTTACGCCAACATTATTTCAAATTGGAATATACTGGAAGACACTATTTATACTCAATTATCCGGAACTAGTTTATCTGATTTCACGATTATCTAGACTGCCAACCAAGAGTGAATATTTGTACAGCCTATGCAATGTTTTTCATGTATCTTAAAATTGGCGTTTTGTTTGTCATAGGCATCATTTTGCTGATTCGTATAAACGCAAATAAAACTACTAATCGTTATACTTCTATCCGGATTCTAGATAATATGGATGACATATTTGTTTCTTGGGTGTTGACGCACATCACTCATTAAATAAAACTAGTTTTAACGGGTTAATGCACGAACTTCATTCTGACGATGCAGACCTGAAAATGCTGCGAAACGCCAATAAATAAATAAAGTTCGTGCATTAACCCGTTAAAACCAGTTTTATTTATATGGATGACATGTCAAAAATTAATCGAGTCTCCACAGTATGTTTAAATAGTTCGTAACGTGATATCTGAGAAGCTCAAATAGGTAGTAGGTATAATTTTGATGTTAATATTGATATTATTGTCAAATATGAAACTAAAAGTGAAGAAAACATTTTAATGGCTTAAATAATGTATAAATTTGTATAGCTACAAATAAGTATACGATAAAAAATCTTAAGCAGAAATAATAAACGTAATGTACGTTCTAGATCAGATAATTACAACAAAAAAGTTATGTTTACATCTTTACAAGGTCTCTCAGCATATTAAGTTAAAAACTACATACTTATAATTTTTATTTTTTAAGCATGTAACTGCTTGATGTTTAAATCTAAAGAAAATATAACTAGAAAAAAATCCACGTGGACCAGGCAGTGGTCGGGACAGTTTCATGCTTAAAAAATAGAAATTATAACTATAATTGTATTTCTTCTTTCAAATGTTTAATACTTGTTAAAGTATTCATTTGACATTGTGGTTTACCTACAATGCGAAGAGTGGCAGCTTGCAGCTTAAGAATGGCTAGAGGAATTTCGACGCGGCCGTCAGGGCCGCGGTAGCATAATTGGTCCGTGCATTCGCCCGGATAGCGAAGGGTGTGGGTTGGACTCCCGTCTGCTGCCTGGTCCACGTGGATTTTTTATTAGTTATATTTTCTTTAGATTTAAACTACTTACTTACTACCTGTATCGGGTTATGTCTTGATTAAGTTATTTTTTTACAAGCTCGGAGTTCGTAGGTAATAATATCACCATTTTACTGCTAGGGTTGGCATGGCACCGACTCCTAATGTTAATTTAAATTTTAATGTGTACACTAAGTAAAGATTAAGTTTCAATTCTTACTTTTTAGTGGTTATGTTTTTATGAAGCCGGTTTTTATTTTAGTTTAAAAATAGTTTTTTTTTTATGCAAATAGAAACATTGACATTTGTTAAAATTCAAATATACACATACATACCTACAGTCTCTTGACATTGGTATACAAGAAGGATAGCTCAAATAAAAATTTAAATTTCTATTAATAACTAGTGGCCCGCCGTTGCTTCGCTTCGGTGTAGAGCTGTAGTGTAGACTAAAAAAAAGAATCCCGCGAGGAGCTCGAATAACCGTTGCTACACATTTGTCACAATTAATCCAGAAATGTTATATAAGCAATTTGACTCAAGACTGGCAGAACCTATTTTTATTTTCATACAGCACACTTCATATCTCAAAAACTGATGAACCGAATTTATCCTAGACACAAAAGATTAAGAATAACTGTGCTGTAAGCTCCTCGCCTTCTCCCGCACCTCTAATCAAACATGATGCCCCTCATAATCGCAAAAAACTCGTTGAAAACAAAATCTGTGACGGAGATCTCAAAGGTGCCGTTCGCCTTTTGTTCTCGAATGACGTGCTATCACCAGATACCCCTGACACCCTTCAGGCCTTACGGACAAAACATCCCCCAGCTCCAGCAAACCCATATTTTCTCGACCCACCAACAGCAGGGCAAGCATGCCTTCAAATTCAATGCAAAGATGTTATGGATGCCATTTTATCTTTTAAACCAGGTTCGGCTGCAGGTTTGGATGGAATCTCACCCCAACATTTGAAAGATTTAACATCGCATTCTGTGGGTAATGCAGGCGAGCAACTTGTAAATTCGATCACTAAATTAATCAACTTTATGTATTCCGGTAGTGTCAATCCAGAAATTGTTCCTATTCTTTTCGGCGCGAACCTCATTGCCCTGACCAAAAAGGACGGAGGGGTGAGACCAATTGCTGTTGGATCAACACTACGACGTCTGGCCTCCAAAATTGCTGTTCGACATATTTTACCAAAACTAAATTCGGAATTTGAACCCGTACAGTTAGGCTTCGGTGTCAAAGGAGGGTGTGAGGCAGCCGTCCATGCCCTACGCTCCTTCCTAACTTACGGGCAGCCTGACGTGTTGCTCAAAATTGATGTCAAAAATGCATTCAATTCGGTAAATAGGGATACCCTGCTGACAGAAATAAAACAACATATACCGAAAATATACAATTATCTTCTTCTCAGTTACGCCGACCCAACAAAATTGTTATATCGTTCTAATGAACTGTCCTCGGAAGTAGGTTGTCAACAGGGTGATCCCCTTGGGCCTGCAATTTTTAGTTTGGCTATAAATCCGATAATCAAAAATTTAAATTCTAAATTCAATGTTTGGTATTTGGACGACGGAACCCTAGGAGGTGATGTGGATACTGTGTTTTCGGACCTTTTTTTAATCAAAAATAAATTTGAAGCCATCGGTTTGGAGGTTAATTTTAGCAATTGCGAACTTTTTATAAATAACAACGACTTAAATTTAAATGACGTTAAACAAAAATTTAATATTTTAGCTCCAAATATTAAAATAGTTAACAGTAATTCCCTTTACCTTTTAGGTTCTCCAATTTTTGATGAATCTATTTCTGAATATATTAATAATTCAATTAATAAATTTCAAAATTCTGCTGACCGTCTCTTTGAAATTAGTCCACATTATGCACTTTGCATCTTGAAATTCTGTCTTTTCGTCCCAAAATTTACGTATGTGCTCCGTTGCTGCTCCTTTTGGAATCACTTAGATCTTTTGTCACAATTAGACGACTTAATCAAAATTAACTTAGAATCGGTTCTTAATATGCAGCTGAACGAGCAATCTTGGACCCAAGAATCCCTACCCATCCGTTATGGTGGTTTAGGGATTCGCAAAATTTCCAGTGTCGCTTTACCAGCCTTCCTATCTTCTGTCCATAGTTCAGCAAATCTCATAAGTAAAATTTTAAGGGCATCCCCTTCAAACTTTGAGATTGCTGGCTTGGAAGAAGCTAGAAACGCTTTCCTAATTGCATGCCCAGGTCAAAATTTTCCAGTTTCTCCAAATTCACAGAGGAGCTGGGACGACATAAATTGTAAATTAACTTATAATAACCTTTTGAGCTGCAGTACAGGTTCGGCGCGTGCTAGGCTTTTGGCCGTGGGTACGCATGAGGCCGGCTACTGGCTTCACGCGTACCCTTCGACAAATACAGGCACATTTCTTGAGCCTGACACACTCCGAATGGCAACCTGTCTACGGCTTGGGGTCCCGGTCTGCGCTCCTCATAAATGTCCCTGTGGCAGTGATGTCGACAAGCTAGGACATCATGGACTGTCTTGCCAAAAAAGTGCAGGCCGCTTCTTGAGACACGCCGCACTTAACGATATCATACGCCGGTCCCTTGCCACCGTCAACGTGCCAAGTCTACTTGAGCCAACTGGTATTGCAAGAGACGATGGCAAGAGACCGGACGGTATGAGTTTGATTCCATGGAAGATGGGTCGGGTGCTAGTATGGGATGCAACCTGTTCAGACACGCTGGCCCCTTCCCGTCTACATGGAACCAACAACAGAGCTGGTGCGGCTTGTGAAGCGGCTGAAAAAGTTAAGGCAGGCAAATACAGGGGTCTAGGCTCCGAATATGATTTATCCCATTCGGTGTCGAGACCCTTGGTCCGTGGGGTCCTAGCGCTATAAGGCTTTTTAAAGAAATAGCGAAGAGATTAGTCGACATCACAGTAGACCGAAGAGCTGGCAGCTACCTCGGACAAAGAATAAGTCTAGCTATCCAAAGGGGGAACGCTGCCAGTATCTTCGGAACCTTGCCTAAAGGGACTCCTTTTAATAATGTATTTTAGTTATTATATTTTATTTTTTAAGGTTTTTAGTTTTAGGTTCATTGTTATAGTATATTTTTTGTTTTAATTATTCTTAAATTTATTCATATTGGAACTAGAAACATGTTGTTACGATAAATTTTATAGTTAATTTATATTTAGTATATTGGAAGCGGCATCAGATAGGTACCATATTACTGTTATGAAAAATGACAAATACTCATACTTATAGCATTATAACACATACGAATGAGACAAGCAGATCACACTTCATTTTTTCAAGTTTTCTTCTTAATTCTTTTCAAGTTTTGTAACTTAATGTATTGATAATTGAATGACAAAAGATTCGATTGACTTTTGCGGCAATCGAAAAATACTTCGTTTTCAATGTTGTCTGTTATAATATTTCCGATTTGATTGAAACGTAAATTTGTTTATTATCATTAAGTTTAAATATTGTTCTAATTTTCATTTAAAAAAAAATAAGAATGTCACTGTCCAAAGTCATCTTCCACTCTACAAATGCGAAAGAAAATTTAAATAGAACCTCTTTATCTCTTTCCAATATACTATCCGTATTATTAGTTAAAGGGGTTCGGACCTATAATCTATTTCTAAACCTGAAAAGATTGATATAGTTATAATTTCAATTTTTAAGCATGTAACTGCTTGATGTTTAAATCTAAATAAAATGCAACTAGAAAAAATTCCACGCGGACCAGGCAGCAGACGGGACTCGAACCCGCACCCTTCACTAATCGGGGCGAATGCAATGACCAATAGGGTATTTGACAAGTTTTAGAAAACGATCTCACGATATTGAGTAATGTTTATGGAGTCCGTAAAAAGATATAATGGATATTCATCATTGTATTGTGTATTTCAGTAAAAAAAACCAAATCAAAAACTCTATTTTCAAGTTGCTGCGAAAACGTTTTTCTGGACAATATGGCGTCTTACTAGTGTGTGACGTCACACGACTGTTATTAAAACGTCAAACGATACAATGTAATGTCACTTTAACCGGAAGTTTACTTGCGTGTGACGTCATTTTAGGCTCCGCCAATCCCAAGCGATTTGGGACACGTGACAATAGATAAGAAAACTATTATCTTTTTCGTTAGTTTTTAGTAAAGTTATGAATATTTTTTTTGTAAAAATAGTAAAAACCCGTGCCAATATTCATTCTAAACACAGATGCTAACAATTGGCACATTATTTTTAACACTGTCAAATACCCTATTATGCTACCGCGGCCCTGATGGCCGCGCCGAAATTCTTCAAGGCAGCGCCATCTCTTCGCATTGTAGGTAACCCACAATGTCTAATGGATACTTTTACAAGTATTAAACATTTGAAATAATAAATAGCAATTATAGTTATAATTTCTATTTTTTAAGCATGTAACTGCTTGATGTTTAAATATAAAGAAAATATAACTAGAAAAAAATCCACGCGGACCAGGCAGCAGTCAGGACTCGAACCCGCACCCATCGCTATTTTAATTAGATTGATATATTAACTATGAATTTCAATGTATTTCTATACTTAACAAATTCTGTAGAATCTTTGTTGTAGACCGAGTTTAATTTCGTTAGTTTAACAACCGCTCATATGTTAGTTAATACACATCATGAAGGACACGCATTATGCATAAAGCATTGACCTCTGACGTGGCAATGCCAATGACAGAATATTAATGTGTATACTTAATATAGGAATATATATCGTGAAGCATCAAATAATACTAATACTTTTATATTTTTAAATTTGGCAGTTCAACGTATTACATACAAATATTATAATTAAGTTACTAAGCCTTGTAAGATAATGAAACTTTACAAACCAAAATGAGACAGGAGTGGTGCATTCGTTACTTCGGCACTTTTTCACGGAAGGTTTAATACAAACCTGAGAACAAAAACTATAGTCTACACCGAAGCGAAGTGAGGGTGGCCCAACATAGTTCATAATATTAATCTTAATAAAATATTTATCTACACCCATGCTTTAAATCCTCTATAAAAGATACTGAAACAGCTTATTCGTTAGCATCTATCAACTCTCAAGTAGGGATACTCATTTAATATCGATATATCGAATTTTTCGATATTTACCATACGATATATCGAGTGAATCGATGTTTTGACAAAGATTTTTTTTATTCGATATATCGATATATTTATAAAAATATCGAATCGAAAAAACTAACGCTGACTCATAATGACAATAAAACCAAAGTAAAGGAGATTCGTAAACCGAGTTTCAATGAAATGTATCATGTACATACCAAAGCGGGATATATTAAATTTATAGATAATAATGCTAGTAAAATTTCCCAACAATTAAAAATTCAACATAACAATATGCCACTTCCACGCTCTTTAGGTTCATGAAGGAATCTTCTTTTGCATGCAGAAAAAGGAGAAGTCATTACTTCTCCTTGTTTGTTTTAATATTTGAATTCCCATAAATAAAAGTTAGGGTCATCCTATTAGAAAGGAATAAAAGGCTTCCGTTCTCTATTTCGTTTCATTTTCATTCCGTTTTATTGGTAACAGCGGTGTCCTGTTTATATTATACACTGTGAATTTTGAGTCACTTAAGAAATTTAACTAGCTATTTCAGAAAACGATTAAGATTATATTTCTGCAAAAATAAAAATATTTTGCAAATAATATGTACTTTTTTCGAAAAAAATCTCTACCTTAACTCACTATTTGTGTAATACAAGAAACCTTATCAATTTTTTTAAGCATATTGATTCAAATAAATCTAATTAGAAATTTGGCAAAATCCAAAAAAAAATTTTCAAACGCCATCCTCTAATAGTCAACCAACAAAGAAACAGAATTAAAGGCAAAAGGCTAAGTAAACTTTTATTCCTAAAAAGTATTGTAATAAAATATTTCGACTATTAATTTGTAGTGTTTCACTTACATGTATAAAAATCATCTCACCACCGTCTTACTCGTAATAGTATCTATAATTCTATTAAAGTAATACTCATAGTAAATGAAACTTGCGAAAAATATTCGATATTGAAAAAAATATCGATATTTACAAACGATATATCGAAAAACATCGATATAGCTTTCCGATATATTTTTTAAGTGTACACCCCTACTCTCAAGTTTTTACAATGTGGTTAAGTAAATAGGCATGACCAAAACCCTAAATATAAACTGATAAGATCAGGAAGCATTAGATAGAATGATCAAGGAGCTTAATGGCACATATGATCTGCTTTGTAGAAGTTAAGCAACTATCGCAATGTGCTATTGTCATATGTTGTATAATCACTAAGGATAAATAATCTCAAGCTCCTCCATGCTTTGGAAGACACATCGAGCTGCTGGCCCCGGCTGCCTTTTTATTTTTATTTCTTGTTTGTTAACTAAACTAGGATAATTGAGTTGGTGATCAGATGATAATGTGTAGAGAGCCAAGGAGATCGAATGGGTGGGGAAGGACAGAAAGTGAAGAGCACGGATCAGTAACAGTAAACGTGAGCAATGAAAAGAAGAAATGAAAAGAGGACGTGAAATAGCAAATTAATGAAAGGTGCATAAAGAGTTAGAGGAGTGGAAGAGATAAAGTAGATCCGGCCAAACCCTGAATTTGCAGTCGTTAGTACCTACCAATCAGCACTATGCTCGCGTAATGGGTACTAGCCGAATCTCCCGATTCAGTCCACAGGGGAGATAGTGCCTCAGCTGTGGGGACACTAATAGGCTTATTTGATCATTATACAGCCACATAATAGCGCTAACAGCCGCCCACGACTTCGTCCGCGTTATTTTTAGTTTTTTGAGAATCCCACACGAACCTAACACTTTTCCGGGATAAAAAGTATCCTGTGTCGCCATCCAGGTAATAAACTATATGTTTGCCAAATTTCATCCGAAGGCGTTCTTAAAAACATACAAATTTGAAAAATATAGAGACAACTAGCGGCCCACCCTCGCTTCGCTTCGGTGTAGAGCTGAAGTGTGGACTACACTTTTGGTTATGATTCTTCTTATACCTGCATGCAAAGTCTCAGCCCGATCGGCTTAAAATTGACAAAGTTTCATAAAAAGTTTCATTCCCTATTTTATCCCCTTGGGGGCAGAATTGATCAAAATGCTTTCTTAGCGGATGCCTACGTCATAACATCCACCTGCATGCCAAATTTCAGCCCGATCCGTCCAGTGGTTTACGCTGTGCGTTAATAGATCACTATGTCAGTCAGTCACCTTTGAGTTTTATATATATATATATATATATAGATAGAGATTATATATATTGAAGATTCCAATTTATAATATTAGTAGGATAATATAAACTGTTTATTTCGATCAGTTTCAGTGGTAGTCAGGCAAGCAGCCAGGCGGCCTCGTTCAGCGGCTCCGGTGTGTCTGGGGCAGCTTCATCCTCGTCAGCCCTGGCTGGGGGCTTCGGCGGCCCCTCGGGCAGCCAGAGCGCATCCTCTGCCTTCGGATTTAATTCTCTTAATGCGTTCCCACACTCTGATGTAAGTATAGAGCATATTATCTTTAAATATACTTCCGGAAACATATAGCGGCCCACCTAGCATTTTAGTTTTGACGATCCCTAGCCAAATAAATAAATGTTACATTGAGCAAAAAGGTTTTAAGCAGTTTTGAAGCTGATTTTGAAGCCATCTTTTTCGTGTGTTTTGGAAATATATTTTAGTGCTCAACCTAACATATATTTTTGCTACAGACAGTTGGCATATTTTAACATTAAGTGGCAAGATAGATGTGTCCGCAAGTGTATATTGCTTCTGCCCGTATGTTTGGTATTGCACTGCTAGATGGCTAGACCAATGTTGAATTGATCGAGGGACCCACTTGAATGCACACGTAAAATTTAACGTTTGCATTCACGGACCCCTCGATGGTTTAGATTGTAGTTTTTTTTTCTTTTTATTTCGGGCGTGTCAAAGGCTGGGGCATGCTTTTAAATAAGTTCTAATCAGTTCAGAATTAAATATTTAGATTCAACCAATTTACTTCATGGAGGAGCTCGATGGCGCAAGTGGTTAGCGCGTTCGGCTGCGATCGTTGAACTTAAGCAACTTTCGCAGTGGTCGGTCATTGGATGGGTGATTAAAAATTATTATCTCGAGCTCCTCCGTGCTTCGGAAGGCACGTTAAGCCGTTGGTCCCGGCTGCATCTGCAGTCGTTAGCACCCACCAATCCGCACTGGGCCCGCGTGGTGGGTCATGGCCCAATCTCCCTATTCCATCCATAGGAAAGGCCTGTGCCCCGGCAGTGGGGACATTAATGGGCTGATGATGATGATGATGATGAATTTACTTTATGGAAACTATATGTTATATTTATATGTTTCGTAAAATGTTGAAGCTAAAAAATTGTAAGATAAGGATAAGTAACCAATGGAAGTTTTCAAATAAACTTTTTTATGGGAACTCATCGTAATGATTTTATTATTTCAGTCCGGGTTCAACGACCCCGTGTTTGACATCCGCCATCGTGGTGTACCCAATTTTCCGTTCCCAAGCTTCACGGGGAGAGGCAAGAGCGTCGGCGCGGCGGCCTTCAAGTCTACCAAGATTCCTGCCCCAAGAAACCAGGACGATTTCCTAGCTATACTCGTCTCGAACTAGCTGTAGCCCGACACATAGTAATTAAAGTTCCGATGGTTTGCTGCAGTGCTATTCTGTAAGAAGAAACTCACTTTTCACCGCGGAATTCGCGGGTGTTATTAGAAATTTATTTGAAATCCGTGGTTCTAATTTTAAATCACACCGCGGGTTCCAAAGTGAAAACTGAGTTTCTTCTTACAGAATAGCACTGCTGATTCCAGAATTGGGATACATATGTAGAATCTTTCGTAAATCGTTTGGAAAAATATGACATTTATAAATTCTTTTCTATACTCACATATTTGAACGGCTGACCTTAAATTTTAGACCGTGTTTTTAAAAACACGGTCTAAAATTTAAGGATTTGATGTCCTTCCCACCAGCCAAAACTGTTCGTACTTATGTAAACTGCAATGTATAAAGCTTGAAGTATTTATTTTAAAATAAGTATCATAGAATACTGGCAAGAGATATCAATTTTTCAAGGATGTCCTACTCAAGCCTATTCAAATTATTATTATTTTACACAACGCATAACTTTCCGCCAATTCCTTTAGGAAGTTGGCAGCTTACCAATGGTTTATACACTTTAGTATAAATCTCATGCTTCTCCCACGCCTGCGCTTCGAGTGGTCTTGGTACTAAATGCGCTAAATAAGCGTTCGAAATTTGAATTGTTATGTCATAATGAATAAGCAGGCTGCGTGTCTAAAGACGCTAGACGACATCTTGACTAGCGATAATTTGACAAACCTAAAGAGAAAATATTACAAGAAAAAATTCCACGCGGACCGGGCAGAAGACAGATTTAAACATCAAGCAGTTACATGCTTAAAATCATAACGCTTAAAGAGGTTTAGGAAAACGATAAATTTCTATGTACAGTTGAAGGAGCGTACTTAATTCAAAGTTCGAACGTTAATATTACCGCATTTTAGTACCAAACCCACCCGAACCTTCGTCGCGAAGATACGAGATAAGAAGCAGTGTATCAATCACTACGCAACCACTAACACTTGGCACTATTTGGGTCTTTGTCGTGAACTAAAATCAATGATGAAAAATTGCCAACTCATGGCCGTTATCTGGTTTATTGGAAAATCCAATAAATGTAACTAGGATAAATAAATTATGGACTGGGAGCAAAAAAAACATAGCATTACCTATATATTACGTCACCATAAAAATAGAGGACACAGTATGTCAAACAAAGTTTATGTTTCGGTTGTGGGTTTTGGCTCTTGTAAGCACATATTGCTCAAACATTTCGTAAGTAATACACAGCTGATGTGCAAAATTTGCGACCCAGAAATACAGATTACTGACATGCAAACAGGACAAACCACATTTTAATATCTGTAACACTTTCATTTATCCGATCACTTGCTGTAATATTATAGTGTTGAGGGTTTTTTTGTCTAAGTATGTTGTTACATAATACAATATCTTTGTCACAACTAATTTATTAGGTAATCTGTTAAAAAACAGATGACCCTTTTTTTAAATAAGTACTGAATAAAATTGTAGGTGGTGCGCATATTAATTATTATTATGTATAAACTGTCACTTCTGTCATTGTAATTATTGATTCTTTGTATAATAGGCGAAAAATATTTTTTTGTTTTGTATGTTTCAACTCTGCTGCTGTAGGTTATTTCAACATATCCTAGTCCTAATATTTTGAATTATATACTTTTTGTAACATAATGTAAAAGTATTTTATACTGTGACTGGTGTTATTAACTATAATTGGTTCAGTATTCATCAAAATCAAATATGTAAATTAGTAAATAAAATTCGTTTTTTATGTCTTTTCTCAAAAGATAATCATAAGTTTGGTATATGACAAACATTGTATTATTCTGTGTTGTATCATTTAGTTGACTGATAATCTATTGATTAAGTAGTTATTAGTAACTTATTATTAAAATATAATGTTAACTGCTGTTTATTATTAAACACGTTTTTGTACTCTATGTAAAGCGACGTCAGAGAGCAGGATATTTCTCTGTACGAAGAAATAAAAACCGGCTATGTGCAAGTCGGTCACACGAAAGAACGTTCGTGTCATATAATTGGAAATATATCAAACTCATAAGATTCATAGGCTTTCATAGAATAAAGCTCTGAGGCAGACAAACAGACAGCCATACTGCCGTCCTTGTGAAGAATGCATTAAGAGCTTCGACATAATTTTAAGAAATCACACTGATATTATAAAAGCGAAAGTTTGTTAGTGTGTGAATGTGTATGTTTGTTACTTCTTCACGTCTAAACGGCTGGAGCAATTTTAATTAAATTGGTTATGGAGTTAGCTGACACCCTGAACTAACACATAGGCTACATTTTCCTGCTGGGAAATATCCTTAATAAACTGCGGGTAACGCCGAGGGGCACAGCTAGTTTAACTATAAATGCCATTTTCTTAAAATCATTTCTGTAGAATAGCATATTGAACAGGGTTTCGCTTGTCATCTTTTGGATATGATATCTTTATTGAAAAAATGGGATGTACCTGTTGAATTGTGTATTTCTTATCAGACTTAAATTATTTTTAGTTATTTTTATTAGCAAGCAATAAAAGCTTGATTTTTATTGATTTTTTTAATTCTTTCTAAACTTCGGTACATATGATGTTTTATAATTATAGATACACGCTTCTATTTTGGCAATGCGAAAGTCAGGTAATTGCCTGACTTTCGCTCTCTCACCGCGGCTACACTTCGCTACAACGCAACGTGTAAATGCGACTTTTGATGACCTCCGTGGCCGAGTTCTTTTTACGCCGGGTTTCATGGTGTCGCCGACTCGAGAGGTCCCGGGTTCAAATCCCGGTGGGGGCAGTATTTGTGTGATGAATACGAGCATTTGTACTCCAGTCATGGATATTTAATATGTATTTCTATAAAAATATACTTATATATGTACAGTATATATATTGTATCCGTTACCCTAGTATCCCATAACACAAGCCTTATAGTGCTTACTTTGGGGCTAGGCTAATTGGTGTGAGTGTTGAAAATATTTATTATTATTATATTTTATGTTTTTCCAGACAAAAAGCCTATATGTGTTTTTAAATTGTGTACAAAATACACGTGAAGTTTAGAGACAACAAAAACGTGTCATTTCGTTAGTAAGTACAGTTTTAAAGAAATTAATTTAAACATATTTAGTAATTACTTATTTTGACAGTTGCTGACACCGTTGACACGTGGAGACTAAAGAGCGAGATGTAAACTGCTTTTTGCATGAGAGTGAAAGAGACTTCTTTAGTGCGCTCTATGAGCGGCTGTTGCCAGGGGAAGTTGGGGATTGCTTGTGCCATTTTAAAATGCAATAATGTTGGCGTATAACCTGTCTAAAATAATTGCGTTATTGTTGGGTAAATTACATACACAGGGAATCTTCCGTGATGAGTTGATTAACTGAGGGTGAAAATCTCATTGAAATACTTTCACTTGTTTTTTTTAAATTATAGCGAACATGCAAAAACTCTTAAAAAACTAAGAAGCAATGGCAAACGTTATTTAATATTAGGTAACTTGTGAATATAAATCTGTTAGTACCTTTGTCTATCAGTTAAACGCGTCTAAACTCCCGAAGAGATTTTAATAAATTTCGATGTAGGTAAAATAGCCTATTACTAGAAGCTTGCGATACCAGAGTATTGCAGCATCCCCTCCTCATAGGATGATCGCATCAGATGAAATGTGTAAAGCCCTTATGGGCTTCCCCCCTAGGGTTTGTTTTAGTTAGTAAGAGTCTGAAATAACCCTGCAGCCGGCTGTGGGGTATCCAATGAGGATTTCACACCCGTTCCTCCGCCTGGGAGATAACAAAAAATACAGAGTATCACTCACGCGTTTCCTTGGAACCGGATTCCATCCCCTACTTCATGAAGTCCCGAAAAACTTCCTCTTCACCAAAATGTAGTATTACTTCACTGTTACTTGTCTTTATGGAAGTTGAGGGTATGGAGCGAGGGTACAAACAAAGTATGTATTGTAATGCTATTTGTCTCTTTCCACTGCTGCCACTAGCTTACCTCAGGAAACAATGAAAACAAAGAAAGAAAACAAAAAAATAGGGGTAATGTACTATATCTCTAAGCGAGTTTATAATCAATTATATATATAATCTTTAATCGAGGAGCTCGATGGTACAGGTGGTTAGCGCGTTCGGCTGCGATCGTTGAAGTTAAGCAACTTTCGCAGTGGTCCGTCATTGGATGGGTGACCAAATAACTTCTATCTCAAGTTCCTCCGTGCTTCGGAAGGCACTTTAATCAGTTGATCGCGGCTGCGTCTGCAGTCGTTAGCGCCCGCCAATCTGCACTGGGCTCGCGTGGTGGGTCATGGGCCAATCTACCTATTTTATCCATAGGGAAGGCCTGTGCCCCAGCAGTGGGGACATTAATAGGCTGATGAAGATGAATATAATATATTGTACTGACCTCTCCAGGACTAAATAATTAGGATATTATAAAAATGGAGTTGTTTTAATTCTAAGCATTCATAAAAACTGATAAGGTGTCATACAATAGTTCTTAGGCTCTATCAAAGATATTTTACTTAATCTCTTGTTAACAAGTAACTAAGATATAAAAAAGGAGTTTTACAAATTGTAAGCGTTCACAAAAACTTATAGGAGTTCTAAGGTTATATCTAATTAAGAGTCCAACTGGCAATTAAGAGACCACAAAAATAGACTTTTCTTAATTCTAGAAATTCACAAAAACTTATAAGGAATTCTTAGGCTCGTTTGATCGATATTGGTGATGCAGAATTAATATTCATTCAATATGTTAATTTTTTTTTTTCAATAAGACAACCAGTTATTTGTAGAAATGGGTGTAGTCCAACCTCGTGGTGTTTCCGCCCTGTTCACCCAGGGTTAGTTAGGGAAATACCTTGAGTACTTTAAGTTAAGGAATCTGTCCACTGTCACGGTAGGTTTAGATTAACTGGAGCACGGCTTGCAGCCTTTATTGTAATAATTTCACGCGTCCCTCCTGGCCCGTGTATAAAGAAAAAACCTCCTTAACGCTTGTTTGTTTTACTTCTTGAGGGGAACGTCGGACCCTTTCGGTTACTAACGGTAACTGTAGTTACGTTAGTAACCGAACCGTTCGTTTAGTGTTCTCGCGTTGTGTGCCAATATCCACCAGGATATAAACAGATTCGGCTCTAATTACCAAAGATAAATCGCTGTAAATTCTTCCTTTTTTCCAAAATACTTTGTCATTAAACAAAACGGGCGAAAAACGGATTTTGATTTCAATCGAGATTCGAATCTTGTTTTTTTTTGTTGAAGTTCTCCCGTTTTAGAGAAGGCAAAGGTAACAATGCCCATACAGCCTGGTCTTTAATTAAATTAATCTTCTTTTTGTTTTTACATTAGAATGTCGGTGTGACACATTCTAATGTTTCTTTGCCAAACACTGGCACGAAATGTATCGAGTTGGCTTTTTCGATAAGCTTCTGTGAGGTAGTCAATACTACAATAAAATTCTCACGTCCACTTGACCGGAATAGCGTATATTTTAACGATTCCACTAATTCTTCAGTTACGCAGACAGTTGTTACACAAAACCACACCAAATTTATTTCACAATATCCACTAAGAACGAATTTAAGAATAATTAAAATAAAACGCCAACCACACTCGATGAAATCCCGCCAAAAAACCTTCGAATCTTGTTTTGAAAACTGAACATAGAGAAAAGTAAATATACCAAATCTGAGTCTAAGATTTTTTTTTCTTTCCTTTCTTAAAGAGAATCCTAAGGGCAACAGTCAAACAGCCGCTGCTTGGGAAACCAGATGAATCAACCAAACAATCCTGTCACTCTCTAAGCGGAGGAAAAGAAAATACCTACCTAAATCAACGAGGAAATTTAATTTTGAATAAAATGCAGTTTTTTATATTACTTTGGAAAAACCTGATTGAGGACTCAAATCGATATGGGAAAAATTAATTCAAAATTTAACACTTAGTAAATTCAACAAATTTAAAGTAACTAATTAGTTTTGTTGAAGCCGATTTTTAAGTCGAATAAAAAAGAAACTAAACTTTCAATGCTACCAACCTAACCAATGAAGATTGACAGTTACATTGACATCAAGCGATTCGATATCATAGACAAAACAGCTGTCCTACGTGTGTCAGTAGTATGAGTGTCAGTGTCAGAAGTACATAAACGCCCTGCCCAAAAACAAACACTACAGTATTTGTTCCATGTCGTAAATATTTTTTTTCTAAATATATTAAATTCATAATTTGAGAGTGAAATGTTTCCTTATCCAAAGCACCCGCTTATTTAAAGAAGCAGTAGTAATGTTGCGAAGAAAAGAGAGGTTCATCAAAAAAAGTTCAAGTGCG